TTTTTTTTTTTTTTTTTTTTTTTTTTTTTTTTTTTTTTTTAAGCGTGTGCACGTGAGAACGTGACACACTTCAAGGCATACACAGTGAATGGGAAAATATTTATTTTGCGGGGTTACAACATTTGTTCCTCATTATTTATTTTAGATTATTTCAGTTTGTACTCGTTCGATGGCGTTACATGCGCTGTGATGCTGTAGTGTATAATTTGCCCGACGGGGTGATGCGAAGCGGAAAATACTCGGTTGGGTTAACCGATCATCCATTTTGACACAAGGGCGACAGTGCTTTCCAAGTTGCTGGAGACTCTGCAGATATGCACACATAAATGCACATATGTAATACAATTTGAAGCTCCTTCCTTGCTTTTTTAAGGATACTCGCTCTGCACACACTGTAGAATTTATTAACCCATTTCTTCTGAACAAGGACCGAGACTGTTGCACACAACAAGTGCTCAGTAGCAGGTGTACGTAGGAACTTTTCAGCGTAAAAAAAAATTCAAAAATTCATACCTTGCAAAAATGTGAGAAAATACGCCAAGTACTTGGTTTATCTTTAGCCTCTTTTGATGCATTTCTGAAATGAGCACAGCAGTTGCAAAATTAAACGCGCCGTTGTTACTGCGCTTTTGCTATCCCCGCCATTGCTAAATTGTTTACGTTTTTTTGTTTTTTCTTCTGCATACCTGACGGGAAGGGATCATGCACCCATACAATGATGGCGATCCCTGTACCAAGTGTTTATTTTGTGCACATGGAGTAGCAATAATGTAAGCTTAAATGTAAGAGAAAAAATACAGAAGGATAAAATAATGCAAATGGAGCGGAGGTAACATATGGGGCATAGGAAAACAGGGTGAACATTACACAGCAACAACGCAGCAGAGAGTATCTGAGCAAACTTCGCAGTGATGCTAACAAAGCAAAGGCACGCACGCCCCTTCCTGTATTCTAAAATTTCCACGCTTGCCGTTCTTACAACGTACCACTTGGAAAGCCTAAAATGTATCTTCTGAAAAAACGGTTTGAACTGAATCATGTAGGGCGGATAAGCAGTGTAGCTTTGCTGAGGAACCCCCCCCTCAGATCACTGAAAATACGAGTGAAGAATTTTGCATACGCAAGAAGCATATACGAATGCAGTACCTTGGAAGCGGGTGTGAAGCATGCTCATAGTTCTCCAGGTGTAAGTGTGAAGACAACATTGGCACCAAAGTTCCTGCCCCATGGAAGTGATGCCAGTAGTAAATATAATGAGAATCTACGTAGTGTATTTTTTTCCAACAGCATGGATGAAGTGAAAGACTATTTTGATAACAATTTTAACGAAATGAAAAACCATGAATATGTGTATTTGTTATTTAAAATGTATGAAATTATTTTTTTAAATTTTTACAAAACGTACGAATCTTGTGACATTTTGAGGCTGGACAATCCGCAGTTCAAATTTATAACCCTTGACCAGTACGTAGATGACTGGGTAGGGAGGTATGGCCGTAGCAGCCGCAAGAGGGACATAGCGACAGTAGGACAGAATGAAATTATATTTTATGAAAATGATGAACAAAATGGCATTTGTGATAAAATATTTGATAGCGAGGGGTGTATTGCACCCAAGCATGTAAGCCATGGAGAAGATGCGGAGCATAAGACGTGGAACGATGCTGAACGATTGAACGGGGGGAACAGAGAAATGCACCACATGGAAGAACACGCCTATGTAGTAGATACTGCCAACCTAGACGGCACTGCTAACCACAGTGGAAGCAAGTATTATTCTCCCCAGGTTAATCTTAACACACTGATGGACATACACCTTAACTACGTGCAGTATATAGAAAAATTAAACATAAAAGAGAGCACATGGAAGGATTACGTATCGTCCTTTATGACAGAAAAGTACGAAGAGTTGTACAGAAATGTGCTAAACGTAATTTATAAAAGGATTTTTTTTTTTTCGTGCAAAGATATTATTAACTACCTCTATGTAACGAAAAGGATCAACCTACTGTCCATAAGGGAAGTCAGTATGTTAGCAGAAAACGTGATTTTGCAAAATATAAAGTACCTGGATGAAGATTCCCTAGTGAAAATAGGCTACATATATTTGAACAACTCCAACAAGGAGAAAAACATTCATCACATAGGAAGATACGGAAGTAAAAACTTCCTAGAAACGTACTTAAGCTTAGTTCAAATTAAGATAAAATCAATGAGTAATGAGAATTTTGTGAAAATACTCGAATACGTTAGTAGTAACAATTACAAGCATATTCAGATTTTTAGAGACTTAAAAACGGAAGTGTATAAGAGGCATAATAATCTGACGCAGGAACAGATGGTGAAGCTCTTTTTTTTGTACTCTCAAAATATGAATGCGGCGGATGATATTTTGATGCGTAATTTTCTGAAGGCCATAGTTGATATATTTTCACATGAGGGGGAGGATTGCCAGAAGGAACGCGATTTGGATAAGTTGGACCAGATAGACAAGTTGGGTGAAGAAGGAAAAGGGGAAAGGCACCCCGCGATTGGCATCCCCCTGTCTGTACTGCTGAACGGAATATGGACGAGTGCCAAGCATTTTAAGGATTACCCTGTTTTGCTGGTAAAGAGCGAAAAGGTAATTTTAGAAAATATAAAAAATTTTAGCGCCAGCACTGTTAGCATGCTCATATGGGCTTACAGCACGGTCGAGGGCAAAAACCCCCAAGTGCAGTTCAGCAATGAGTTATATTTCGAGTTGAAGGAGAGAGCCCTGGAGTTGCATCAGCACATGACTCCCAAGCAGCTATCCAACAGTGTGCTTGGGTTAGCAATCACCGTTGGGCGGACGGTGAGTTGGGATGGGCGCGTGGACACGGAGATGCATGACGTGGTGGAGCAGCACCTATTGCGTGTGGGGGGAGGGACGGAAAAAGGGGTTAGCAGGGTTGGGCGTCAGCCAAAAGTTCGTGTTGCAGAAAGGACTTTCCTAAACCTGTTCACATCAGAAGACTTGTCAAACTTGTGCTATGCCTACTCGCTTGTTCGTAGCGGTAGCAGAGAACTGCACAGTCTTATCCAGTCGGCTATATTGAAGAACCAGAGTGATTTGTCGCCCCAGGAGATTGCAAAAATAGCGTACGCCTATGGAAACATGTACTTCTACGCATCGTATACTCTACTGAGCTCATTACAGTATGAAATTTTGCAACGGATGCACCAGTTTTCTCACCACGAAATATGTGACATTCTATGGTGTTATTGCGTGAACAGATTTTTAGACGCCAATTTTTGGAAGTGTATGTTGCGTGCAATTGATATGGAAAAGTTAAGAGACTCTCGTTGCTGTTTGTTATACTCTTGTTTGTCTTATGTGAATCTGATCGATTCGTCCATCCTAGATTCGTACAACACGTTGCGGGTGTTTCACTTGGTTATTGAACACTACTGGCGATTTCAGATGGCAGAATACCTTCACAGGTTCGCGGACGATGTGGTGGATGCAATGTACAAGGAGAACACGTTGGTGCAGGTGAAGAGTGACAGGAAGGGCGTGAGTGGGGAGCAGGGGATGGAAGCAAATATGCATGGTAGCGAGCGGGATCACCCCTTCAAATGTGTTAAGAAGGCATATGATTATGAAGGTTTCCTAATTGATATCTACTTCGAACACATGAATAAGCGTTATGCCGTGTTTCTTTATAGCGCACTCAACACAAGTTCGGATGGGTACCCCTTGGGAGAGAGTGTGCTGAAGGCTAGGTATTTGAGGAGGAAGAACATCAGGACGGTTCATTTGCTTCACAGCATATGGAGCGAGTGCCGTGGGAATCGAATCGATTTAATCTATGCTCAGTTGTGAGGGGAACATCTCGATCGGTTGTTGCAGAGGGGGCCATGTTTTGATTGGTGCTTAGTGTTGGCTGTCCCCCACTCGTCTCTCTTTTTTTTTTTTTTTTGTGTATCTACCCCCCTTGTGCGTATTTACCAAACCAGCGATGATTGAGGATTTCAACGATGATGGGTCGCTTATTAGGGTCAACGTTCAGCATGAGCGAAATTAAATTTTTCAAATCATCGGAAATATCATTCGGGTAATTAAGTGTACTGCTGTCAAAATATTTTATATCATTTTCTACGTATTTAAAAGGGGGAAATCCCTGCGTCATGATGTATAGAAGAATTCCAAGGCTCCAGATATCTAGCTTGAATACGGAGTAGTTAATGGTTTGGTTGAAAATAATTTCTGGCGCGATGTAAGCTTTTGTGCCAGCCTCTGTTTTAATATTCTGATCAACATTAACAAAGTCGGATAATCCAAAGTCTGCAATTTTGCATGTCATATTTTTATCGAGTAGAATATTTTCAAGCTTTAAATCTCGATGGACAATGTGCTTAGAGTGACAATAGTACACTCCTCTGATTATTTGGACGAACAGATCATGAGCTTCCTTCTCAGAGAGGTAGCCATTATTCTTAAGTATATAATTTTTTAAGTCTCCATTAATGGCATACTCCATAATTAGACAAACATAATTTTCGAAGTGATTCACGTCATACATTTTTATAATATTGTTATGAATGAGACCCCGTAAGGTTTGTATTTCTATGAAGACTCTATGCACATCTGTCACATCTAGGAAGTTACTTTTTGGGATAAATTTCAGTGCTACTTTTTGCTTTGTCTGGATGTGTATACCTTGGAAGACGATTCCGAATCCACCTGAACCGATTCTCTTCTGGACGATGTAATCATTAACTATTAAGTTATTTTTGAGTTTACTATGAATGGTTAGTTTCTCTCTTCTATCCTTTAGGTATAGAGTGTCTCCGTCAATTATATCTCTAATTGAGTGTATGTTATTTCCACATGAATCTGTGATATACTCTCCTTGTGTATTGTACTTTTCTCTACCGAGCTGTAGTATATCGTGGATGTTGTTGTCATAACTGATGTCTATTTTGACTGCGTCTTTGCCTTCGCTTCGGTCTAGGCATAGGTACACCTGTTTGTACTCTCCTTTGCACAGAAAGTCCTCCTCGGCGTTCTTCGCGCGGCCCAGGTACATCTCGAACAGGCGGGGAAGAGCGGGAGCGGGGTTTGTTATTCACTACGCCTTGGCTACGTTAAGAGGCACGTTCCATATATCACAGTGTCAATTGATGGTACCACTTAACCTTGTGTTGCTACCACGAGCGGTGCAAATGTGATGCGTTACACAGTAGTTCCTCTCGTTCAGAGCGCCGTACCTTTGGGACCTGTCCACATTCCAGGGTGGTTACAGTATACTGTATATTTTTGGCCCTTCCTAATGGGGTTAACTGAGCACAATAATGTAGGGGCAAATCCGAAATGTGCGTTATAAGTGAGTCTCTCCCTCTATGGCGAAGAGGTACATCTAATCCTATTAACTGTGAGCGGAACAAATATTGCTCGCGTGTACCTAACGCGGTGAAGACAAGAAAAAAAAGTAACAATTTTTAGTCAACGTGGTTTTGTTAGCCTTTTTTTTTTTTTTTTTTTTGTCGCGTAGAAGCATGTGTACATGCGCCGGCATGTCTATTTTATGTTGGGACAAAGCGAACACGTCACTGCTTTCTTTCCTCATCTATGTTTAGGGTAACATGGCAAAGAAGCGATTGAACAATATGCGGGTGAGGGAAATTACTTTTGTTTAGTCCTTTTATGATTACCCTGGCGCGCTAGGCAGCCATTACTTTTGGCATTGGAAAATGGAGCGCGCAAAATGCGGGCCAAATAGGAGCTCCCTCTACATCGTTCTTTTCGCGCGTCTCAAATGGTGCGGGGTTCCGGCAGGAGGCCGCACGCCCAGGGGAGCAAAACAAAGAAGCGCTGAAAACGTAAGGAAAAACACTTTAAACACTGGGGGGAAAAAAGTTAAAGGAAAAAAGTTATAATAAAATGGAACAAATTGAATTAAAATTAAAACTGAAACATTATGGTGTGTACTCTGCGTTTGTGCTCATTCACCTTTTGGCGCGAACTTATTGACGATTCATTTGGGTTGCTCATTTGGAGTACACGCAACATGGCAGCTCGTTTGGCTGGTGATGCTCCTCCGGTGCCGCCCACTATTTCGCTCAGGGGGGAATGACGCACGAGTGGGGCATCACGTAATAATCAAGCTTGGCATGCAGGAAAAAAATGAAAAACTGCAATAGGCAAATCAAAGAGCTACTAAAACAATTTATGGTTAAGATGGACAGTATAAAAAAAAATAAACTCAGAGAGGTGTACATGTCAAATACGTAAGGCTTGATTTTTCGAAACTTGGATAATACAACAAGTATGTGTGAGAGGGCCATGAAGAGAAATACGAAAATCTGTCCTCCGTTTATTTCTCCGGTGGTGACGCGGTTTATGTTGTCTGCGTGAATGGGAATGGGAAGGAAAAAAAAAGTAAGAATGAAGAGGGGGGGGAAGTGCAAGCGTTAAAGGTGTGTATAGGTGACTATGCGTGGATATGCTGGAGCAGACGCGTTTATATACATGTGTGCACATTGCTGCGGTGACGTAAAATAAGCAGGGATCCCACATCCAATTCTCGCAAGACGTTCGTTGTAGAACATGGGGGTGTACAAGAATAGATGGGGGGGCACACTGTACTCGCTTGGAACCTTACCTTTAAAAAAGATTATTAGAAAAAGTTCAGCAATTATTAACATATAAAGAACGCTGTAGTAAACTTTGACTCGGACTGGATAAATATGTTTAGACTCTGATGCATATGTAATCAGGGGTTCTTCATTGAACCTGTTCGTTTGCACATCTGTATCGTTTATTATGTTTTCATTCTTGTTAATATTTTTTATAGAACATATGGGGAAGCCAATTTTGATTGTCTCATTTGGGTAAATTACACACGCAGGGATATCTTTTTTGTTGTCATCCCTTGAATTAGAGAAAACATAACTTAGTGCATTTTCGTAAAATAAAATGGGTTCGTCTTTTAGTTCATTTAAATTTAACGTTCCTGCCATTTTGTGGTGATCTTTGTTGTTGTTGCTTCGTTTAACTGGATCCACTTGTATCTTACCATGTGGTTGATTTTTTTTCTCAAAAGAAAAAGATGCATTTCGGGGGAGGGGAAGAGCAGCGGTTGCAGGGGTGTTAGTTGTGGGGGATAATATCTCACATGTACTTTTATCTTATTGCAAACGTGTGGGGGGTAAGGATGCTGTCGAAGAATTCCGAGGGCAAATCTGCAAGCTCTCAATTCAGGCTTCTTTTGTCAATGTTCGGTGGTCCCTTATCCCCTGCTTTTAGCAGTTTTTGCGCAGCCACTATGCTTCTAATTGACGTTACAGGAATTACGCATGGCTTGGGTGCAATGAGAATACGTGAGGGAGGCCGCAGGACGAAAGGGCGCACCTACGTTGAGGTATATGTGCGTGCGCAGGAGTAGGTACATAAGAATCCGTGCACACGTATCTGTGCATGTAAAATGTTGACTTATATAGTTATATGCGTGGCACATTCCTTGGGTACATACGAATGTGCTAAATCCTGGTGACGAATGGATGCATCCGTGGAGGGTCAAACGTTCAGCAAAATAGCTACTCTATGCAAATTCTTTGAAAGTTCGCTTTTAACCGGTCAACGCATCACATCTGTTTGTACGCTCGTTATATCGTTAGCGCGGTTGTCACATCGCGGCTGCCGCTATCTTTTCGACTTTCCACCTCTGCGCGCATTCGTCCCTTGTTTTGTGCTTTGTTTTTATTCACATATTTTTTCTTCATTCCAGTAATGAAGAATTAGTTTTCGTTCACTATCTTATACAAATTAAAAAAAAAAGAAAAACCAGAGTTCATGTTGCCAAATTTTAAAAGTCGGTGAGGAACGCCAAAAAAAAAAAAAAAAAAAAAAAAAAAAAAAAAAAAAAAAAAAAAAAAGCATTTATGTTTAACTCCGTGTTGGCTTTTCACAAATTAAGGTCCGACAAGAATATGTACCATGCCTTCTTTCGTTTAAACTTGGCTCCTGCAACGCTTATTTTTTTATTTTCTTATTGCTGCATCCTGAAATGATAAATTTCTCTTACATTTTAAGGACTCCCATGATGATATCGCATCATCAGAGCATCCCTACCTCGTCACATTAATTCTGTGTGTGCCGCAGCACCACGAGTTTGTAACATGTGGCTGTATTCGTGTTGCTTTTTTTTTTTTTTTTTTTTTTTTTTTTTTACGAAATGGAATGAGAGGTAAAATACTTCGTCGTTTTTTTCGTAGCGCAATTTCATTGTAAACATTGCCTGAGTACCACTAGAGAAAACTATTGTTCTGTGTTAGCGAAGGTTCGCTTTTTTTTTTTTTTTCTACAAAAATATACAGCTGCAGTTTTTGTGCTTGCCCATAGAGTGGCACTGTCATTGGCAGTCACGCGTAACGTGTGTGACCATTCACACATTCGTTACACAAAAAAAAATCATAACTTTGTATAACTACACTGATAATCCTTTTTCCTTACAAACACATGTCAGTGGAAGGAATATCTCAAAATAGGTTACCATCAGCGACGGCACACTTCCTGCGGCGGGAATAAAGGTTTGAGGCCTCCACTCACCCCGACGTTTGTCATGTTCCGTTTTTTTTTTTTAAAAAACACGGAGACAGCGTGGACAACAAAACGCACATCCACATTTAATGGAAAGAAATAGTCCATTTGTGCAACATAATTATTACATCATTTTTTCTTGGAACGCACCATAATGTTAAGGTGAGGTGATGGAAACTACGTTCGTGCCCACATGTGCTTCCTTCGCAGGTTTGTCTCGCCCGTGATAACATTTTTTCGTGTGACCCCCTTTTTTCCTACCCTAGGTTCATAATATGTGTTCTTTTCACTGTGCTCAATGTTATTGGCTGTGTTGAAATAAGCATGAACGCAGGTTTCTCTTATTCTCAGTTAATGGTCGCAGGGAGAAAAACAAAAATAGCAGCGGACTCTAAATAGTGACAACTGATGGTAATGGCTAATCGTTAGCATCAATGTAACATATGATAGAGGTGGAACAAATGAGATTATGTAAAACGCAGAGTGCCACCGTAGGGGGGCACCAAGGAAAAGACGGCGAAAATAGTTCTCCATAGATGCATGCACATAGATAGGCCGCTACGCGCATGTAATCCAGTGTGCGGGACAGCGATTTATGTGTGTGCAACATGCTCTAGAGTTCATAGTCGGTGAACAACAGTGACAAAACGGCCATGTCATTTTTTTTCAGTTCATTCTGCCTTTCTGCTTTAATCGGGATAACAAATGAAAGCTGTAGTCATGAAGTGTGTACCGTGCAGGTCATCGTCACGTTGGACTCAGCATTGCGGTTGCTTCTAGAACGATCACTAATATGAAGACCTTATTGCATCAAGTGGGTCCACAGTATCAACGTGATATGATCTACATCAACAGATTTGCTGGCCACCTCACTTGAGAACAAGCAGTAAGAACAAATAACACTTGAACCTAAATCCTCGAACGCTAAAAATCTAAAACATGCATGGTAAAGCGTTAACATCTAAACCGCAAAGCTTATAACCTAAATACTAAACCCTGAATCCTGAACCTTGACTTCCTAAGCATCGGAACCATATGTCTTAAGCGCAGCAACCTTCAGCTGTGAACCCATCGGAGTCTGCAGATTCTGATTTCAGGAAAGCTCCTAAAGCTCTAAAGCTCTAAAGCTGGAAACACCTCAACCATGAATGTAAAATGGGGAAACATAAACTCATATATAAGGAGTCCTCAATCCTAACCTCAGAACTCTACAGTCTAAACTTGGTACCGTATACCTAAAACCTAAAATCGAGAACCTCAAATCCTGAACCCTGAAAGTGTAACACTAAATACTGAATCCTAAAGCGTAAACCGCGAGGAGCACTGAAAACTATATCCCGAAATCTCTAAACATTGGGACCTAGATTGCTCTCCCCTTAACCACACTGAATTGTATACCCCTGAATCCTAAAACACGGAAACATAGAACTTTGAACCTTAAACACTGAACCATGGGTAACCTCCTAAACCCGAATAACCCTTAAGCCGGGGTAACACCCTGTCCACCCGGATATCGCTTCTGCCCAGGGTGTCCGTTTACTGGGGATAACCCTGCCTTCTGCACCAAGTGGGCAATATCCCGTTCCGCTACCATCGTGACCGCTACTGCTGGCGTCGTGGCTACTGTGCTCGTCTGAACGAGGGGGTGCTGGTCCGCCGCGTAGGTTGTGCCCATGCGTTGTTGTTTGACCGCGTGTGCGTGTTGTGGTGTGGCGGCATCTATATTCGTACGGTACGTAGCGGGCGTGCCATCCGTATTTGACCGTGTGCTCGTGTGGGGGGCGTATTCGTGCTTTCTTCCATCGGTCTTACCTCCCTGTTCCCCTGGTGGTGTGGTTGCCGGCTCATTAGCTCCTGATATTGCAGGGGCGGACCCGGACGATTCCTCATTAGCTTCATGTGACCTACCTGGTGGTGACGGCGACGTTGTCTGTACCACTTGTACTCCCGGGGCCTGTTGAGTATGCAGCCCGCGTTGTATGGTCTCCGTAACCTCGTTCTTAATGTCCACAAAAATGTCCTTTATACCTTGCGTCAATTGCTTCGTTAGGTTGCGTGCTTTCATGTCCCTCGTATTTGCTGCATCTCCCTTACCCTTGCTGCGTTTTAGGTGCCCGGCTTTATCCAGTTCCCAATTGCAGATATTGCTTACACCTGCTTTGCCCAATCTGTCCTTTAGTTTGTTGTTCCTACTTAACCATGTTGCAATTTTATGTTCCATTGACCATCCTCCAGCTTGAATATTTTGATATACTTCATTTGCACAATTCACCCTTTTCATTACTCCTCCCATGGATTCGTCCATTTCCTTTTGCATCGTGTACCAGGCATACCATAAACCCCAGTCGCCCTTACATGATGAAGCCTTCAGGAACTGCATGAACATATTCAGAATGGCACATCTTACGTACTCCTTGAATCTTTCATCATTGTTATTGTCCGTGCCCGTTGCACCCGTTACCATGTGCCTCTTATATATAAAGAATAATGCCCCAGACATAAGTTTGCACATAATTCTGTCTCCCGTGCGTGTTACCTTTCGCGCCCGACCATCAGGATGCTGCGGGTACTTATAATACGCATTGTCACAGTTCGCACCCAGCGTCACCATGTCCATATGTTCCATGTATTGCACAAACTGCCCTAACTCCATTTCTATATCAGCCCACAGTTTTTGCTGCAATTAATATAACACATATACATATATGCATAGTGTACAACTTGCGCTTCCTCCTTTACACTTAATGCACCTGTGAATACATTCCTCTGCAAACTGCACTAAGTACACCCGCACTAGCATAACAGGGGACACCGTTCATACTGATTTACATATGGCACGTAGGTGCTCTCCATAAACTGCCTCCCCCTTATGCATAAGCAAATGAATATTCACTACGTTTAATATCGTGCCCATCGCTCTAAGTTACCAGATAATCCTCGTGGCCCATGTATGCACCCCGCTGCCGCACCCAGGTCGCCAACACCTGGGCTAGGTGCTCTGCGGACATAATAGTATTATTGTATTAGTATACTATAAAGTGTCCAGACCCTTGGAAATATTATTATGCTACATATATCCCATGGTAAGGCTTATAACATTCTGTGTCTTAATATGCTCATATTGTACTAAATAATTATTCTTGGTCTACTTGTACAACCACATTTACGCGAACTGCTGATACCATAGGTACTTGTACTCAGTATAGTGCTCCCCTATACTATTTATAGTTGCGATAAGGCAGAACTATATGCAAAAAAAAGAAAAAATAAAAGCATAGTATAAGAAAAAGAGAAAGAAAAAAAAAAAGAAACAGAAAGGACAAAAAAAAAAGTACTACTACACAACCTACACACACAACGCTTCATGAATATCCCACTTCTACACCGGTCTCCACTAAACGCCTTCACAGACTGTCTCTCTGTGCGCACACCCAAAAAACCGCAGTAGCGACAACAACATCAATTTCTTCTTCCGTCGTTGCCGCGTCCTCGTACAAGCGATTGTCTCCGAACACACGCGGTTCGACGACGTAGCCGAGTGTACGAAGGAGGAGGATTGTCTCTCCGAGCAACGCATCGGTCCGAGTGCAAGACGGATACGACGACGTAGCCGAGTGTAAGAAAGAGGAGATTGTCTCTGCGAGCAAACGCGGCCGGGTAAGAAGGATTCGACGAAGTAGCCGAGTGTAAGAAGGAGGAGGATTGTCTGTTCGAGCAACCGCGTCGACGAAGTAGCCAAGTGTAAGAAGGAGGAGATTGTCTCTCCGAGCAACGCATCGGTCCGAGTGCAAGACGGATACGACGACGTAGCCGAGTGTAAGAACGGAGGACGATTGTCTCTCCGAGCGAACGCAGCGGGGTACACGGGATTGTCGACGCGGCAGCCGGGTGTAAGAAGCAGCAGGATTGTCTGTTCGAGCAACCGCGTCGACGAAGTAGCCAAGTGTAAGAAGGAGGAGATTGTCTCTCCGAGCAACGGGTCGGTCCGAGTATAAGAAGGGGATTGTCCAAGAAACGTGACAGCCAAGCATGCACCGAGAGGCCTTGACGGAGAAGGTGTGAACCGGAGACGGGGTGACCCGGAGAGGCGTTGACGGAGACTGCGTTGACGCGGAGAGGGCGTTGACGGAGAAGGCGTTGACGGGAGAGGCGTTGACGCACACAGCGTTGACGAAGACGGCGTGGGCGTTGACGGAGAGGCGTTGACGGACAGACGCGTTGACGGAGAGAAGCGTTGACGGGAGAGGCGTTGACGGAGACACGTTGACGGGAGACGGCGTTGACGGAGAAAGGGGTGACGGAGAACGGGGTGACGGAGACGGTGTAACGGACAACCGTTGACGCCGAATTATTGACGGGAGTAGCGTTGACGGAGAGAAGCGTTGACGGAGAACGGGGTGTATGTATATTTTTGCTTGTTGTTGTTGTTATTGAGCGGTGTGCAGTAGTAGTAGTGGTAGTCGTGTACTTTTTTTTTTAAAAAGGGGAATAATAACGTGTTCAATATGGTCGGGCTTTTTGCGGACGACATACTGCATTTCCTATGGTCATGGGAGTATTATCTAAACATAAAGAACATAACGCACGGAGGAAAGTATTGGGTAAGTTGAATTGTACACAAAATGCCGGACGAAGGGCAATAGTGCACTTTGCACAGCAATATATATACATGGGAAATTGGAACCTGTATGTGTGCGTAGACTATTTATATAAATGTCGCACAGTAAGGGAGGTATGGTGAGGACAGATACAGTGCACGCAGCATGCATGAATCTCAAAGGCAGCATGGTTAAATGTAGATGGATTTCAGAGAACAGGGACCAGAACGCATGCACAAGCATACATGGATTCTTCCACTCGCAGACACAATTAATGAGTGAGGTGAACATTATCTTCCAGGAAGTCACCACGACAATCAGCCACGGTAGACGCAGCAACGCTGGTATTTGTGCAGGACTATATAACGACCATGGACAGACTTTATGCAGAATACGGTGTAAGGAAATTGCGAGCCTTATGCTATACATAAAGGGATATAGGTATCATAGTGGTAAGTGGATACAAAGACCAGTGGGTGAACGCAGCGGCCACAGGTTTATGGAATATTTACGGTGTACACTGGCGACTGAGGTGTTACTACAGCTGTATGGGAATACTGATGACCATAGGGAAATAATACAGAAGGTTGAGGCAGAAATGCGGCAAACGCATACATCAGGGAAACAGACATATGAGCCAGGGGTTTGTGAGGGCCAGCATTATGGGGAAGTCATCTTCGGATTACGTGGTATTGGACCCAGCATAAAGAATCGACTGGAGAAGTGGCAACAGGGTTTGGCAGGAGGCCACGCAGGACCTACCCGTGGAACAGGGAAGCAGTGTGCTTGGAAGGAGCAGGGCAAAGACCAGAACAATGAAGACGAATGTACTGCAGAGGCCGGGGCGACACCGACGAACTCTGAGCTCATGCTAGAAATAACGGAATGGACGGATACTGGTATCTTTGGGTGAGTGAAGAAGGTGTTAGACGACATCCAACAACCAGGGGGATCCAAGGAGATATGTGAAATAGAAAAGAAGATAAAGAAGGGAGTCAAGGACGTAGGACAAAAAGTGGGCGCATCTCCGCCGCAACTGAGACCAGGAAGAAGGCCAGGCCAGACAGGAAGGGTCCCTGGGAATGTGCAGCATAGGCCACAACCTGCTCCAGCACCCAGACCGCCGCGACCACCACGGCCATCAAGACCAGCCGAAGCACCAGCCAAACCAGTAGCGGCGAAACCGGTGGCAACACCGTCACTGGGGACGGGGAATGGGACGACATCTGGTGGTAGTGTTCGTAAGGGTGTTGTTACGGCTGCCGCAGGAGGGCAGGGGAAGATGTCACAGACCGCCGTAACAGTGGAGTGTGATGGACACAATGTATGGGGATGGAAGCACAGGGAAATATACGTGGCGGACCGATATAGTGTAAGTTAGAACAAGGTGAGGTGTGGGGATATGGAAAGACAGATGGATAAGGGGAATGGAAGGCGACGGCCAATTTATTCATATGCTTACATGCATATATGTGAGGATATGCATGAACTCAAGCGCGAAGAGTTTTCATGAAATGGGAACATCAGTAATCTTCTTCGTGTTCTTGTGCAACATGTAGGATAAGGAATGGAAAGCGGTGACGGACGTGTTGGAGGAGTTTATTAAATATTTGCAGGACAATAATGATAAATTTGACGCCCACGGTGCCAATTGTGATAATACAGGTTGGAATGATATGACAGACACTGCATACCATGTGGACCAGAGAGTGGCGGATATGATGAGGTGCAGGATAATGTCTGGAGCATTGTGGTTTGCGAACGGTGCGGGGAACAATACGGAAGAATGGGAGAAAAAGAGTGAAGATCAAAAGAAAGAGATAGAAAGACTAAGATGTGAAGTGGCTCATGTATTTGGGCACTTACTGAAAACAAGGTACTGTCAAGGTCAGCAACCTTGGTATAGAGGTGTCGAGTATGCGTGGGAAATAATGCGACAAATGGGGGACACCAAATGGGGAGGAGTGGTACCAGATGGTCCAGTTACAAAGCACGAGTGTACAGAATGTGGCTATAAAAGTAAAGGGAGAAAATTAGGTATAGTAAATGCAGATATGGCCACATGGTTACTTCTGCAATGGAGAGTCATGGACAACATAACAAACATGGAACGCACAATGGAGTGTACTAAAGATTGGGCAGAATATCAATTACAGCTAGGGCAGCATGGCAACCTTACAGCTCAGGATGCGGACGGGAAGAAAAAACTGGAGGACGTAAAAGAGGAGGCACAAAAGACAGCAGAAGACATAGTTAAAAAGCTGCAGGACGAAGTGAAGGCAGTATTCGATGACTTAGGAAATTGTACGGCATCGCGCGATAACGACTGCGTGAAGCAGCTATTCGAGAAAGAAATTCAAGAACGGGCAGGTAAGACTACTATTACGAATACGTGGCCTAATAGGAATATACAGACATACACGAATACGAATAGTACGGCCGCTACCACTACGGCCGAATACGCATGCCACGGACCGATGCGCACCGTACCAATACGACTGCGCACGGATGCCGCCACAACACGCACGCGCACAGCAGCGAACAAGCGCGTAGCACATCTTCGCTCAGCGCAATGCACCATTGCCGACAGCACGGCCCCGGCTCCGTGACGACCGTGACTGTGCAGTACAGCGGGCATGACTACGAGCCAGCAGTTTACGAATTTATGCACCAGCACCCCTATGTGCACCATTGCTCAAAAATAATTGAGACCTGCAAGACCGTGTGTACCCTGCCCCCCTTCAGGGCGCCTGTCCCTGTACATGATGTTCTAGGCGACACTGCATCACTATATGCGTCCACATCATATGCTACGCAAGGCATGTTGTTATTATCATGCAAATATTAATAGTGCCAGAAAGGGGGGATATTAATGCAGCGCCAGAAATTGTAGGAGTGTTAGGACAAAAAAACAACAGCACTGTTACATTTTATAAAAATCTTTGCCACATGTTGTATGCATGGTAATCATAATGCAGTGTTTTTTATATGTAGGATATGAAATAATTGTTTCTTATATATGTGCAATATGGGGCGACTTTTCCCCTTTTTCTTCTAAAATGGGTTCCTCATCCATAGTATCAATAAATACTTGATCATATGAACAAACAATGCAATATAAACACAAACCATGTATATTGGTAAGAGCACAAACAACATTATAATGTACAACACGGAACTATAACCTACATGCTACAAACGACAACATAAGCCACATCATAGGGGCGAACATACAACATCATAAAAAGGTCGATCCAGCACATAGATGAATAAGATATCGTAACATCGAAATAGTCTATCAGAACTAAAATACGGCACATACTTATGGCTTTTTAGGTAATTTCAGTTTCCACGGTACTTTTAATTTCCCGCGTGCTTCCTGCCTCTCAGGTCCTCCCTGTTTCTCGGATTCTCCTGCCTCGTTAGGTGCTTCCGGGTTCTTATTTACTTCTCCTTCGTTTTTTTCCGTTTCTGTGCGAGTTTCGTCCGTGCAAATTCTGTTTACTATACATTTTCCCTTCTTCGAGCACCAGAAACATAGTAGCACGCATCCATAGATAAGTGCAAACAGCATGGGACTTCCATACATGGCGATGACACCCACAACGGGCTCTGCTGTTACCCCCAACGCCATCGCACTTGCTTGTACCACGGACGCCAGTACTGGACACAAGACTGTGGCGACTAATATAAGCTTGATCCATGCTTTTCTTCCCATTTTACAACGTTTCAATTTCTGCCACAGTTCCTTCAGCTTGTTCTGCGCTGTTCCACCCTGTGGCTTGCTCTTTATAGGTCGTGGCTCCTTTACTTTGTCCCTGGGCTTGAATTTTCTCAGCATGTCCACGAACACCCTGTTCTTCGGTGCACCCGACGCATGACAGTCGTAAAAACTACGCGTGCCTTGTTTCCCTGCATCCGTTCCATCACTCAAGGACACGCCGGTCGTTGCAATTGTACTTGCAGCCGCAGTTCCAACATCTGTGCCATATTGGCTCGTTCCGTCACCCGATGAAGTGCCTAGTGTGCTCGCCTAACACGAATATAAAAAAAAGAGCGGAATACATATGGGATTGTTATGGTGTACAGAATGATTTATAGCGCAAAAATACACGAGAGGAAGTTTTATAGTTGTTATGGACGGTTAACAGCTTATCACAATAAATGTGGTAAGTCCCCCAAAATACAGCTCTTGATAATCATACACAGTCAGCAAGTTGCCCAAAGCACAGGGCACAAATAAATATAGAAAATTTCACAAGAAACATCATTCTTTTTTTTTCTTTTGCCTTTAGAAAATGTCAGTAGTGGCAATATATTGTTTATATATATATGAATTATAGAATTGTTTTCTCCTTCTTCCACATCTACGTGTATGGATTATTCATGTAGTACTTTTCTTCATCGGCCAATAGTGAACATGGATAAAATCAATGTTGTATATGATTTACTATTCTTACCTAAATATATAAATATAATTTGCATAAATGGTTCACGTGCACCCTAATATAAAGGAAGAAGGAAGTACGGAAGAACACAGTGAAGAACCCATTTTTGGTACATATTATATGATGTAACAGTTGACTAAAGGGGTCAACATTTTTCACAAGTTCAGCACGGGCTGATCAATCATGTCGCCGTTTTAACGGTGTAATAGGAGCAAAGAGCATATTCACGGGAGCAACATTCTATATGTGGAATAACACTTTACTCTTTTTAAGTTATGTATAAGGTTGAGGAAGTTAGTAACAACAGATTAAATTATACCCCTTTTACATACAAGAACGGCGACAAAAAATTTTTTGGCGGTGTAGAGCCGCGGGCTCAAAGTTACATTGTATCAGTATTTAGGGGGGTTACTATTATAACGTATTCGCATAATTATACATGTATATCGTGGCCGTTTATTATTTATGGGGGTCGTCATTTATATCGTTCTCAGATTTGTTACACGTAGTGAGAAATAATACATGCAAAAATATAGTTTCGAAATGTTCTTATGCGTATATACCCGCCTCTGTATCTTCTTTTTGACAAAGTGTGAATGGATATAATTAGGAGTGTGAGCAATATATAAATCACGGGTACATGTAGGGTGAAATTGTGGGCTTAGGGCTTAGGGTTTAAGATTTCGGGGATTGTAAGGTTCGGGGGTTGTAATGCTTCGTGGATTGTAAGATTCCAGGATTGTAAGGTTTCCAGGATTGTAAGGTTTCAGGATAATGTTGTTGCGGAATCCTGATTCAAGATTCACGGTTTAAGGCTTACTGTTTCAGAATTGTAATCTTCATGAATCGGGATTTAGGATTCAGGATTGCGTATTCAAGATTAAGGGTTTTATGGTTCGCAGTTTACGAACTTTAGGAGGCTTAACATTTTAGGGCTTTTTTTTT